CTATTATTTTCCTTGTGTTTTGTGTTGATTGTTTGTACTTGTACTGTCTCATGATGGGTAACAAGCCCTCGGCAGAAGGGGGGATCTTAAAGAAATCCCCTCTTGGGTGCATTTTGAAGTACTGGAAACAGATAGGGGGTGATCCTCTTACGAGGAAACAGTTGATTGAATATTGTAATAGTTGGTGGCCGTTATGTATTCTGGAAGATCAGGAGAAATGGCCGAGGAACGGGACTTTGAAATATAACACCATTCTACAGCTCATGTTATTTTGTAGAAGGGAAAACAAATGGAGTGAAGTGCCATATGTAGATTTCTTTTTCACCCTTAAAAGCGACCTGGCGTGGCAGAAGGATTGCGGGCACACCCCGCAGGACCCTATGGTTTTAGCTTTAGAGAAGGAGAGGGGGGGGAAAATTTTAAGAAGGTGTTGTTCGGCATGTAGTATCGGGAAAAGGTGTCTTAAATGTGAAAGAAAAGAGGATGATTTGGAATTGATGATAGCTCCGAACCAGAGAGGCAGGGGAGGAAACCTGAATGAGGAGGGAGACCAAGTGAACAGGGAGGGGGGCAAGGTGAAGGAGACATAGCTGGGATGGTGGGAGTCATTTTGAAGGGGCAGAGGAATTTAGCCTGATTGCGGGTAGAACTAGGGGAAGACAGGAGAGGGAGGGCACTATTCAAGCCCCATTGAGGCAAGGAGTTGGAAATAACAGTCCAGTAACAGTGAAAGCGCCGTTCTCGATAACAGATTTACGTGCTTGGAAGGAAACCGCAGAGGTTTACAGGGAGGATCCAGAGAAAGTGGCAAAGGTATTTGAAACTATTCTTAGAACCCAGGATCCTGACTGGAACGATTTGCAAGTAATTTTGGAGATGTTGTTGGATAGTACAGAAAAGGGTATGGTATTGGATGCAGCTTGAAAGAAGGCAGAGGGAGCGCATGCTGACGGAGACTTGCAGGGAACGATAGAGCAGAGCGTACTTAAGAGACAATGGACATATATTGAACCAGCCATGTGAGGAAGCAGACTGGCTTTAGGCCCTCGCCCTTGAAGTCACCTTGAGGAGAGAAAAACAGGAGCGACAGTGACTGTTTCACACTAATTGAGAAAAACAAGCCTGGAGGAGTTGGACGAGCAGGTGGGAAAACAGAGATTAGACGAACCAATCAGGAAAGAAACTGAGTCGCATGCTCGCCTCGTGCACAGGACTATTAACCAATCAACTAATGCATGAACGCGTGTAGGGATAGAAAAATTGTATATAAGGGACAGTAGAATATCAATAAAGTGGCTTCTGTATGATTCACATTGGATCGTGTGAAGTCCAATTTCTCTCCTCATTTTCCCACTACAGACCCAGGGTGGGATCCGAATCAGCTGGGACCCCGGGGACTTTTAACCAGATATCAGAGGTGGCTGTTGTTTGGAGTGAGGCATGCCATGCCAAAAGCAATTAATTGGTCAAAGTTGTATGAGGTCAAACAAGAACTTAATGAGTCGCCATCAGCATTTATGGAACAACTGAAGAACACTGCTAGGAAATACACAAACTTAGACCCAGAAAGGCCAGAGAAGGCAGTGCAATTGGCCTCCATTTTTCTGGGACAGTCAGCTCCGGATATAAGGAAGAAATTGCAGAAGCTGGAAGGGGCAGATTCGAGAAATCTTGGTAAAATGCTAGAAGTAGCTTGGACAGTGTTTAATAATCGAGAAAAGGAGAAAGAAATTAGACAGATCAGGCAAGAAAACCAGAGGGAAGGAAGATTGATTGCAGCCCTGACTGCGGGACAGAGGGGAGGGAGAACTGGGAGAGGGTACTTTGGGGGAGGATGTGGAGGAGTAGGGAGACCCCCGCCGTTCTCACGGTCCTGTCTTGTTGAAGACCAGTGTGCGATTTGCAGAGAGAGAGGCCGTTGGAAAAGAGAATGCCCCCGGGGAGGAAACTTGGACCCATCCCTTCAAGCAGTTAAGCTCATGACCTTAGATGAATCCTGAAGGGGACTGGGGGAATCATCCCCAGCTGAACCCCTGGTTAGATCGCGTCTGGGGAATGAAGAGGTAGAATTTTTAGTAGATACTGGAGCCACTTATTCAGTACTTAACACTTGTAAGGGAAAATTCAGTCATGAGACTGTAAGTGGTGTTGGTGCAACAGGGAAACGAGAAAACAGGCCTTTCCTACAGCCATTAAAATTTAAGTTAGGAAAACAGTGGATAGACCACCAATTTCTATATATGCCTGAAGGTCCGGTACCCTTGATGGGAAGGCTAAGTAAATTAGATGCACAAATAACTTTTAAAGACGGGGAGGTGCGGTTGAAAATACCTGAGTCAAAAGCAGTGGAAGCGAGAATTTTTATGTTACAGAATACACAGAGACCGTAGGAAGAGATTCCTGCAGAAGTAGAAAATGCAGTTATTCCACTAGTTTGGGCCAGCGGAGTTCCGGGTGGATCCAAATTGGCAGAACCAGTAAGAGTTGTTTTGAAGCCCGGGACAAAGCCGGTAAGACAAAAACAGTATCCTATTAAACTGAAAGTGCAGAAAATGGGGAGTGCTTGGGGCAGGCTTTGCCTGCTGCTCTCCCTCCTCCTCCAGCTGCTGGGCTCCCCGGCCAAATGGTACTTTCAGGCTAAAGGTAAGCAAGGAGGTGAGCCGGGAAGATGCCGATGGGAAGGGGAGGCCTCAGCTTTCCCCGGGCTGTGTGCCTGTGAAGCACAGAAGGAACTGCACTGAGTTTGGGAGCAGGATCGTGGGCCAATGACGAGTGAAAGGAGCAGTCTATAAATCACAGAACAGCTCCCCAGGGCTCTGTCTGAGAAACAGCTCACTGGGCCATGAGCCTGGCTGGGGCTGAGCATACAGGACTAGCAGCAAAGGAAGGAGGGCTGCTCGTCTTTTCTCTGCTGCCTCTTTCCAGGGCTGCAGAGATGCAGGCCCATGGGTTCTCATTGCTGCCATTTCCTTTGCAGCTCTCTGCAAGTACAAGGGGAAGCAGTTCTCCCTTGGGGAGTCATGGCTGGGCACCAACTGCCTGCTCTGCATCTGCCTGCACCCCATCGGTGTGGGCTGCTGCAAGACATGAGTGAGGGGCTGAGGGGTGCTGGGGGTGGGCTACTGCCAGCAACGCTGCCCTGCCACAGCAACTCCGTGCCTGCAGCGGGGAGGAGGTCATGTGGGTCTGGTGGCCACGCACACAGCGGAGCAAATGTCAGAGCCCTGAGGGGCTGTGGGAGACAAGGGGCAGAGGTGGGCAGGAGACCACTGGGGTGCTGAGGGTGGCGGGGTGAGTTGGGGAGCCAGGAACAGCAGGCAGCAGGGGTGTCTCAGCACAATGAGATGCCTAGACATGCCAGGAGCTGTGGCCCAGCCTGCCCAAGCTGGCCTGGGAGACACCCCAGCCAGTTGGAGTGGCAGTGGAGGAAGCCACCTGGCCCTACCAGCAGCCCCCTGGCACAAACCAGGGAGAGTTGATGGCATCGTGTCCTCTCCCGCAGCACCCAGCACCCCACTGACTTCCCTGACTGGTGCAAGGCCCACTACAACTCACAGACCTGCCAGATCTCAGTGGTGCAGAAGGCCAACCCCAGCCTGCCCTGTGTGAAGAACATGGAGTGGGGCTTGGCTGGCACCCCAGAGCCGCTGAGCAACAAAGTACTGGGCGCGGGGCTGAGCAGATAGAGGCTTGTCAGTGCTCTGTGCCCCCCAGCATCAGCCTCCCTCCTCCAGAGCACACCTCATGCATGCTCCACACCTGACCCATCCCATAGAGACACCCCTGCAGTCACCTTTGAGGAAAACCACTATCCGCACACTATGGTACTGAGTTAACATTTACACACTAGTGCTGCCACAGTATGGCTTTGATTCCACCTTCAGCTTCCTGAACCGAATCAGGGCCCCTCCCTGTGAAACTCCCTGCACACCATGGGCATGTGGATCTTACAGGATCTCCTCCTGATACAAAATTGGGTTTTCAGGCAGATCATAGAATCATAGAATCACAGAATGGTTTAGGTTGGAAAGGACCTTGAAGATCATCGAGTTCCAACCTCCCTGCCATGGGCAGGGACACCTC